CTAATGAGGTTTAATAAGAATTGATGACGGCCTCAAATTATTTTCATGTCGCATCCGTTATTAAAGCTGGTAGCGCCGATATATATAATATGTATATGATAATATAATTTAAAGTAATAAGAAACTTAAAGTAATATCTTTCATCTCGTCCCATCATGATCACGGTTGCTTTAAAGGAACCGAAACGTTGGGATCATGTACATATAAAATATTAAAATAGACACGTAGCGTCCGAAAAACTTTCTTTCATTTAAATGTGAACACGTGAAAATATCAAATATTTTTATACCAAAAGTAATCTTAAAATCCAAGCGAATAAAAAAAATCTTACTATTATTTAAATTCAGAGCAATCTTATCGAAGCGACAAAAGCAGTACAATTCAAAACTTTTTTATTTTCGTAGAGATTATAGTGATTAAAATGAGAGACGGTAAACCTTGTAAACAGAATATAATTCTTAAATTCATTGTATTAATACAGATATATGTTTATATAGGAGTGATACAGTACTTGTTGTTAAACTTATTACTTATAATAACTACGTATAAAGGATTTTATTCTCAGAGTGGATTTCAAGAGCGCAAGCGAGAGGGTATGATTATAAACTATATAACGATATATATGAAGAATGAAGATGTCTACTGAAACCTGCTTAAGATCCGTCTCAAGAACATTCACTTGTTCAAACCTTCGACAAACAAATAAAATACAGAAAAAGTTATTAAAAATGGCAGCACAACTAATTAATCGTTATCAATAAATAATAAAAATTCTCAAGATGGTTTCTTATAGACATCTAAAAATGAAAGAGATGCACTCTTTATCTATATATTTAACAAATATTTTTGACTTTTAATATGTTTTCGTGCTGCTGTCAAGTAATAATTATTTATTTTAACAATGTTTATGCTTTCTCAAGTTAGGTTTTTAAAAGTTTCTGTAACTACATATTGTACGTTGGATCAATTACAGTCTAGATCAATTTGAACCTCTGTCAATAGGTTCACTCGTGATTTCAGACCGTCTTTGTTCTACGGATCTTGTATATGTAATTAAATAGTTTCACATTCAGTTTTGATAGATTGATTTGAATGAAATTCTGTTATTATCTTCTATCAATACATTTAAATTTCTCCTTACCTTAACATATTTTGTTACATATTTCGAATAGTTATTATTTATTACCTAAATATTATTGAGTTATTGTCTTATGATCATGCAAAATATTTTATACAACTAATATAATTTTCTTTTAATAAATCAAATTCACCCGACGTTTCGTTTACTTTAGTTTTTTCGTTTAGCAATCGTCATCACGGGCAGACGATATGCGATCGTTTGAAAGTAGTAAAATATGTTGTTTTTAATAATAATAAAATACGAGTTATCCATAAATATTAGTTTCATTTAAATGAATACTCACGAATTTCTTATATCTCATTAAATTAATATGTGTTTTATGATGTGATTAATTATGTGTGTAATTAATATGTGATGTATGATAGTTTTGCGTAAAGCCGCTACTAGTAGCTTGTATATCCATTCTGTAATCTTCATTTAACCAATAACACCCAGCCAATAACCTCTTTCCTTTTCCGATCCCTTTGACTTGAGTTCAAGTACACATCGCTTAACCAAATAAAGCCTACTCCAGTTTAAACACCGATCAAAGCAAATAAAATCCTATACCAATATATAACGTTTATGTTCGACGTTTCATACATAAAATAATAAATAATTAAATTAATATGTACAACGCAATTTTTAGTTTTTGATTATTAACTACATACTCCCGACCTTTCGGCTACTTTACAGCAACCGTGATCACGGGCAGACGAGATGTCAGAGTGACATTCAAATCGCGTAGGAAATTCGAAAATATTAGTTTCTTTTAAATGAGTACTCAAAAAAATCTTAGATCTCATTAATAAATAATGAATACGGATTTCGAAACAAGGATAAGAAAATACTTATATATGAAATAATAGTTTGTAAAATGAAAGCTATATTCCAAATGAAATAACTCTCACAAAAGAACAATTTTTTCATACATTCAATGTATACAATAGTTCCAATATCCGGAAAAATTCAGAAGGGAACAAGATATGGATTCTTTTCAGTACTTTTGGATGACTGTCTCTGTGAGCTTCAAATGAATAAGTATTTTACATGTGAAAAAAATAAATAATCCATTTCTCAGAATATTCACACCTCGGAATAGATTGCGCGTCTTTATCAAGATGTTGAAGTAACATGAATATGTCGATAAATTTTATCATGAAGAAATTACTTTTATTTTAAAGTAAGTTTTGAAAAGTAGACTCTAAAAATATACAAATTCAGAAAGGAATACTGTAAAATCAGATTATTATTTAACATATCGAAGTTTTAGTTTTTAAATAAAATGTATAAACAGAAGTTAGGTTTTATTTGTTATTCATTGTTTATTAAAACTATCTTCTTTTAGTCTGCACCGTATCGCCCGCTGTATGACTCTTATCACTAACCTCCATAGGTTGACTGGAAGAGATCTCTTGTAGAGATAAGTCCGCCTTTGTTTATGTTTTTTCTATTATGTTATTTTCTGCAATATCTTGTTTTAGTGCAATAAAGGATATATATAAAACTAATATTTTCAGATTTACTACGCGATTTTTATTTTTGTTTATAAACTACATACTCCCTACATGACGTTACTTTACAGCAACCGAATTTCGGGAGTATATAGTTTATGGTCAAAAATAAAAAATCGTATAGTAAATCCAAAAATATTAGTTTCATTTTAATGAATACTCGCGAAAATCTTACACCTAGTGTTAGTTTCTGTTAACTATTACGTTACACAGAAACTTAAAAACTAAAAAATTGATTTTGTTAGAATCCCTACTAATGTTATAAATGCCAAAGTAACTCTGTCTGTCATGCCTAAACCACTGAACTGATTTTAATGAAATTTGGTACAGAGATAGAGTTGACTTTGAGAAAGAACATTGGATAGTTTTTATACCAGACTTGAAAAGTTCTCTTGGAAACGCGATATAACCGAACACCAAACGGGCGACGCCGCGGCCAGAAAGCTAGTAGTTAATATAATAAACATCTATAGTTTTGTTAAAACACAAACATTATATTACTTTATAATGCTGTAGACTTCAACACGCAACGAGCTGGTGATGAATTGTAGTTATTAATAATTCTAAATTTAATATCTATTATTTATACTGCCCTGCTGTTTTTCTTTAGATCATTTCCCTAGTAATAATTTTATTTCAAGCTGTCTTCTGAAATCGTTAGAATTCTTTTCGTTTCTCCAGTAAGTTCCTTTATGTTCTCAATCTGTAAATCAAGATGAATAGGATATAATTTTAATTCGTACTGATTAATACTCACTAGTATCCTGAATAAATGGAATTATCATGACAATAATTAATATTGTCATCGACATAATGTTTGACTTACACCTACATTTATTTACATACCATTTTAGATACCTCCCAACTATATCTAATATACAGGGTGACTGGTGAATTACTATCGATATTTGAGGACGTGATATTTGACGATCATATATGACAAAATAAAAATTAATATAACATAAATATTAATAAACTTCTAAGTAAAGTCAACCAAAAGTTATGTAATTAATTACGCATCGCGTGAACACCCTACAGATTAGGTATACACACACACTCACACATACGCGCGCGGCGGCGTAGTGTTGTATCAGCACGCCGCCGCACTCGTCCACACTTGGAACACTTGGAACGTGTCAACACTTTATTTATTTATACGGAAATTTTGTCAAAAATTAAGTGCCTATTTTTTTTACATAATTCGAATGAGAATCATGTACCGAGTATTCTCCTTAAATATTGATAGTAATTCACCAGTCACCCTGTATATATATTTATAAGGAAGTATAATTTCAACATTTTAGTTTAAATTATGTAATCTTTGAAACAAGTAGAGAAATTCTCTCATTGAATTGTTCGATAGTTTTCTCAGAAGAAAGAGTTTGTACCAATTGTATTTTAAAAATAAATTAAAATGATAATAGAAATCAAGGATAAATCCGCGTGCTATAGCTATAATATAATATAATTCAGGATTCAGTACAGGGAGTCTCCCGGGACTAGTCAGTCGGGGGTTGTCGCCAGTTAGTCGCCGGCCGTTGTCGGGGTCGGTAGTGTCTTAAATCGTATGGAAGACGCGTACATATGGTGCATATCGGCAATATGACGTACATTAATGTTTTTGAACTATTAGTGTGAGGATGTTGAGTGATGTTCATACTAAAGCCTTAAATAGACGCTAATATTGGTTGACAATTTTTTTGTTTTGAGTTACATCCCGTTTTCAAGGACCATATTTTAACGAGTAGTTAATTTCATTATTATAGATTGTTTCCAGTTGTATAAAAACCATGTATGACAAATGATTGAAATAATAATAATAAAAATATGGTGTCACAACAGAGCCTTTGTAAAGTAACTTAAATTAAAATATTGTATTTATCATAACTTCGGTATGTCTGGAATGTATTTTTGTAACTTCAACCTCGAGAACTGACGCCATAAACATTATAAAGACTATCTTAAATCAGCAAATATTTTGTATAAAATATGAATCATACCATTTCTGATCAGTGATCACCTTCCTAAATTTGTTTACATTTGGAGGCAGTCAATCAACGTTAAACACTAACGCTACCAGAACACTATTCATATTATAATCCAGACACTCTAATAATAACTTCACTGTATTTGAATATAGTTTGAAATTTAACATAAAAAAACTACAATTGAATTCAACGATTTTCAATTCATTATCGCGATTCTAATAAACAAATAAAAGGACATTTAATTATTTCGTGAAAGCAGAATATGTGAATATAATATGGACAAATGGTAATGAAAGTGGGAGTTAAAATTATTGTTATTAATTGCTAGAATAACTAATGAATCGATTAAAATAAATTGTTGTGAATACCAAACAAAACATGGCTTCGTCTAACGGAAAAGGCAGTGGAAAACTCACTGCATCCATAGACAGTTTAAAATTGTCGAGTAAGAATACATCGAAGCATGCCTCATCGGAGTCGGTATTGTCGAGGAAGGATAAGGAGTGCTTGCAGATGCAAGAGTGCAAGAAGAAGCTGCTAGCCATAGAACCGCAGATAATAATCAGAGACGAAAATGTCGTACTACGATCACCGCCTCAGAAGAAGATAGTAATGCCACCGCAGATAAATACAGAGGTACGATATTACTATTCCTAAATAAAACTATCAATACCTACAAAAAAATATATATATTTATAATTTTTTTTTGTCTATAAATGATCGTAATAAGAATAAGATATCCCAATTGGAAATAATGGCAGAAGAATAATTAAAATTGTCTTTGTAAACAAAGTCGACGCTGAACTTAAGAGATGAGCGAGCGAGCGTGAAATCGATTTTGCTAACTGAAATACTTCCACGAGCTGCCGAAATTAGATGCGTTCAATTTATTTGTATTTGCATCTTTGGATTTTCTTGTAACTATATGACTTAATGCATTATGTTGGTTAAATCATGCGATTGTAAATAAATATTAAAACAGAACGTTAAATAAGGCTATCCAAAATCACTCCATCGCAAAATATTTTTGAGTGACATTTTTAACATCTGATAATTACATCAAAATGATATTAGTCATAATAATATTAGTGGTCTATACATATGTATACACTTAAAACCTTTTTGCAGCTTTTCAAATGCATTTTTATTTTGTTTTCGTTATTCCGTTTATATTGTTTTGTTAGCGTTTCTGTTTGTCTTGGAAGAAAAATAAATAGAACCAAATTGGAATTTAACTTAGGTTGTATTTTTAATAAAGATAGATATCTAATACAATGATATGTAATGTTAAGTAGTTTTTAGCATGTTTGGAAATGATTAAATATATTTAAAAAATGTTTTCTTTTATTAGGGATAGAAAAATACGAAAAATTAGAGATGTAACTTATTTGCACCATTATATTTAAATTTTTTGAAACTTGATCCTATTTTAACAAGAATTCTTCATTCATCAGAATACAGTTCGTAAAATATTTTAAGCATAGTTCTACAGTTTTTCTCAAAAGCATATACCAAAAGCGCTCTTTTATTTTCATTCCAATGTACCCTATTTACTGAGCTCACTCATATCAACTTGCAAAAGTTTTGATTTACATTATACAATATACTTTATCCCACAAATTTCTGAACAACTACTACTTGTTTACATTGAAGTACTGCATATACTCATTAATCACTTGAAACAAGATGAATTTTAAAATTTTACATCAATATCCTTATAAGAAAAAATAAAGAAGGAAATTATTGCATTAAATAACAGTATATTATGTGTCATGTAAAAAAACTAACTTACTATTAATTAATTATTAATTGAATAAACCTATAGATATGAGTTTATACCGTGTTTGAAAGAGATTAAAATTTGTTACTCACTAAATATTGTGCCTATATATAACGAATACATGTAAAAAGTTAAAACTCGATTTGCTATAATAATATTTTTTTAAGTTATCATCGCTTTCTAAGCTAAAAAGATTGTTCGAAATTCCTTCGGAATCAAAAATTGATGAAAGACTAAATTAATCATACATAAACTGATAATACATTAAATTTAATTACATAGTTATTTTATAAGTTTTTTTATATATATATGTATTTCTCGAACCGGTAAGATACTAGCAACAATTTTAAAAATATCTTGAAAGTACCAAGATTACTACATTAATTAAGTTAAGTAAGATTATATCTTTTACTTCGTACACGAACGTAAATCCTTTCACTTTGATCTTTTACAGAGTTATTTTGTGATATACATTAAACATTCCAGAAAATAATGAAAATAGTTTGAATAAAACTCTTATCTTAGATCAATATCTTGTATAAATAATAGTTCACTATTATATAACATTAATCAACCAGTCTGGTTATTGTTTCTTGGAGGGCTGTAATCTGAAATTGGAGAACTCACCACAAGCTTTGTGTTTCCCGACACATTTCGATTTCATTGATGGACAGTTTTACTGGTGTAAGCTGTTCTATCATTCCCTTGAAATTCATCGCTTTTGTATGTGTATGTATATTTTTACGACAGTTAACAAGTTTATTTGAGTTTGTTATCGAGTATTCAAAGTATTTTAAAAAAATATGTTATATCATCCAAGAGTTTTGGTGATATTTTTCATTATATCTTACTCATCAATCGTGATGTAACAAAATTTATATGAGACCAATTTGGCAATAAATCCATACGATGCAAAAAGACTCATCAATTATGAAATCGTTAAATAATTGTTATTACATTTTATGATGAAAGAAACAAACTTCAAGCTAAATTCGAAGCCAATTATAAAAACCAAACAAAAAGTCAAAGTTCTTGTAAAAAACGTGACAACTATTTTATTGGAAAATTTTCTCTATTATCAAGCAATAAGATAACTTCTATAAAACTCTTTCTATTCATAAAATATATTTTCTTGTAAGAAAACTTGAGATTTCTATTCGAACTTTCAAAGCACTTGAACTGATAAGTGCGAGAGCTATAAAAACTGTAACTTAATGAAATATTTATATTGCTTTTAAAACTTGGATTATATTTGAACTTAAATATTTCTATTCTATGAAATCGTATAGTAAAATAAACTAATAAAGTTATATTATAGAATAAAAAGAAAATGAACAATAACATTTTCTTGAAATCTGCAGAACTTGTACAATTGATGTCTAGATAATGGCTTGCAGTCTTCGTAATCTGACTCAGACTGGTAAATAGTTTGAAAAACTATGTTCTAAAAGATGCATTCTAAATCCTGCTCACGTTAATGAACTTTTCTTGTCACAATTGCTATTTAAAATTTATAATAGAAGAGGATTTTTTATTTCTAATAACCTATCCTATTATTTTAATTGCAATGCTACAGATGCGACCACTTAAATTAATAACTTCCACTCTCAAACAAACTCTAACCACAGAAACTCTATCCGACAAACTGATAACGATGTTTCATTCCAAGCGGTCAGTATAATGCCAAGGGAAGTTGAATGAAACCAATGTTATGATAGAGCTGTCGATGTACACTCAAGATTACAAAATGAGTATTTCAACTGATCTAGCACAGTGCAAAGAATATAGAAGACAAAGAATTTCGATAGAAGTATGCTTACTGTTTAAAATCTTAACTATAATATTATTAGGCTTATGGAAAATAAATTGACGCCTTATTTTTAATAGTTTTGAATATATATAAGAAGAAAAATCATATTATATAAGGAAAATCTTAGGTTAAAAACTATATCAAATGTAATGGAATTGTTTCGAGGACTTTGATATTAAAATTATGAGCTTTGAACAATTTTTTTTTCACTTGACAAAGAAATAGTTCACCAAATAGTAAAAAAGGGGTTTTTATAAATATTCAATGTTTATTTGTGATTAAACAAAAAATTGACTTTTTAAATATATTTATATTATTATATTTACATATTGATGACAGTTTAAAAAAAATAAGTGATAAGAATAATATTGCAATCTTTATAAAATTTTCGATGCATTTTCACAACAATATGTTATACAAGTCATTACAAAACCGTTCTTTTAAACAACATATATAACTATTTCAAGTACATAAAATGTGTCAGATATTAAATAAGTAAAAAGAAACAAACCAAAAAACGGCTCAAAACACGTCAAAGAGAAATTCAAAGTGACGTACGTCATTTTAAATCAATAACGAATACTTTTTGTGGTCAGTAAAATGTCAAAGGAGATTGTTCGAAACCACACTCCAAGTTAAAGCTTTCAATATTTTTTCAAAAGAGTTTATTTACCAACGAACAACATTTCTGTCAGACATTTGAACAGAAACTTATATTATTTATATTATATATTATAATAGTTGCTTAGTAAAGTACATAACGAAAAGAAAATAAGTCAAGTACTAATGTAATTATTTACGAAAATAAAAAATCTAAATCAAGATAATTACGTAACACACGTATAGTGAATTAACATCAATACTATATTTTCCTGTGAAAAGGTGTCTCCGAAGAAAAAAAAATATTACGACAAACACTTTCTTTCTTTTATCTTTTGAAGATTTTTGATGATTTAATATAAAATTTATTTCATTTCAAATTTAATTAATCGCTTCGTATTATCAGAAAAACGCAAAACAATCTTATTTTTAATTGATGATTGTTTAAAGCGAACTTCTGATTTTCAGCTGTTGTTTAAAAGTTTCCGTATCACGATACTTAAAAGTTTTAACGAGGTTTTGTCAAATGAGTTCAAACTTTATTACAGAACCCCTAAAACCAAATTTTTTAAAACTTCTTTATTTACCAGGAAGGAATAAGGGTTGAAATACTTATATGAATTTATCAAATTACAGATTTTATGAGGGTAAGGAATTTCAATTTTCAATAGGGCTAACGATAACGAACTATCGAGCCCAGCATATTAAAATTCATTGTTAAAAATCACTTTCTATAGTTTACTAGAAATATATGTATAATAAATAATACTTTATTTTTACATTTAAAATTTTGAATTAAATTGTGAATCTCCTTTCGGAAGGCATTTAAAAAGTCGTTGAAATAATAGTAACACGTTAAGGAAATAATTATTTCATGTTTCATGTAAAAGCGAAGCGGAATGTTACACGAACATTTCAACTCAAGATCTTCAACCTCGCAGTATTTCAAATACGTACAGAGTTTAATATTACTCAAGTTTACAAGTTTTAGTTGACGTGCCATTACCTTAACATTTAAGTGTAACAGAATAAGATATAATATACAAATGAGCCGGCTCGCTTTCGCTTAAATATTTTTAATTAAATATCTAATTTAATCTCATCTTCTTACTTTGATAGTTAGTCTTCTTTTTTATATACAAAGTAGTCTGTTGGATACAATATTTAAGTCTAAGAGTATAATTAAATATCTAATAACATAATAATAAAGTCACGTGTCAATATTTTACTGTATGTTTAAAGATCTTGATGTTACTTATGGGCGTTGTTATGTATCATCGTTCGTTATTAAAGAAAACATGAAAAGAACATAAGAAAACGTAAGTACTAAACATTTTCAGGGCGTCACGTTTTATAAAAATATATGTATTATATTTACATGTCTATTTAAATACAACATTATTATTATTATTTCTGCAACAGCTTACCTCTTTACAACTTTAAGTC